CACACAAAATTCCATTTGTTTCCAAGCCCCAAATTCACCAGCATCAACCAAATAAAAAGGAAACAAACTTATTACAAACATCCTGAAAAGAGCCACCAAGGAAAGAAATGAGAGTTTCTTCTGCCCGCACTCCCTAAAAGTGGCAATCAGGAAAGAAGGAGAGTAACCCAGAGGATTCTTACAAACACCCTCCGATGCTGAGAAGCCAGCAGGAGGGTGGATGGGCTGGCGAGGCTGGAAAAATTAGAGCAGTCCCTGAGGGCAGAAGCCTGTGCATACTACCAGGGCTCAGGAGCAACATGGCAGGCTACCAGCACCAGGCAACTTGTGGGGCATGGGGGAGCCCTGGGCCATGATGGGGTTCAGGTCAAACTACCCCCAGATATAGTGCTTTGGCATACTGACTGTCAAGTTGAAGGAATCTGAGAAACATCAGGTACAAGAAGGACATTCCGACCTTCCCCGGAAGTAGGTCCTAAGACCCTCATGTGAGAGGGGCTGTCCCTATACCTGGGGGAAGAGAATATCTCATCTCTAAGACAGAAGGACCCCTGGAGGAATCTGAAAGAACAGGCCTTGCTGCTTCCCTCAGTTTATTTTTTTAGACTCCCTTCATCCTATCACATTTTCCCACAAATTTCTACTCTTCGTCAAACCTAGCACAAAAACACTCAGGTACAGCTACTTCTTTGGGTCTTCATTTCTTTTATCAAGGCCACAGTGTCATCAAAACTTACAGCAAACAGGGGCACCTGGGTGGCTCAGTTGGTTCAGCGTCTGTCTTTGGCTCAGGTCCTAATGTCCTGGGATGGAGCCCAGCCTCAGGCTCCTTGCTCAGCGGGGAGTCTGCTTCTCCCTCCCCTTCTGCCCCTCCCTGCTGCTTGTGTGCAAATGCCTGTGCACACCCGCGTGCTCTCTCCCTCTGGCTCTCTCTTGCAAATAAACAAAATCTTTAAAAAGAAAAAAAAACTTAACAGCAAACAGATTTGTATGCTTTTCTCTCATTAATCTGTCTGGTTACAGAGACCCAGCTATGAATGAAAAAGGGTAGTAGGATCTTTCTCCTCCACCACAGCTATTCTCAAGGGACCACCCAGAGTCCCAGGTTTGGGGAGAGGGATACCACTGGTTGGTGGAGGAGACCCAGGGACAGGACTTTAATGGAGGCTGGGAAAACCAGAAGCTAGCCCTCCCACAAGGTGCGTTCGGCCTTAGCTCTCCTCCCCACCTCATCAGGCTGGAATAAAATGGAAAGAAAGCAACCTAGCATCTGGAACGCGGAAGATAACTGTCTTCCCCACCCCGCCCCAACAAAGCTGGGGACAAGGACAGAGAGAATCCACTTATACTGTATCTGAGCAGATAAAAAGTACAGACAGCATCAGTGCCGACATTAAGCACAGATAAGATGAAAAGAGATGGCACAGAAACTATGCAAACATATTACAACAAATGGAAGGAGAAAAAGAAAACGTGTAAGTAAAAAACAAAACAAAACAAAACACACACCTCAGGAACTCAGTCTGGGAGAAAAGAGAGTCCACAAAGGGCTTCTCTGCAGTTGTCTCAAAACTAGAGATGCTTCAACAGAAATAAGAATCCAGCGGTGCCTGAGTGGCTCTGTGGATTAAATGTCTGCCTTCGGCTCAGGTCCTGATCTCAGGGTCCTGAGATCGAGCCCTGCATTGGGCTCACTGCTCAGTGGGGAGCCTGCTTCTCCCTCTGCTTCTGCCCTACTCGCTCTGCCCACCCCCACCCCACTCTTCTTTCTTGTGCTCTGTCTCTCTCTCTCAAATAAGTAAAATCTTATCAAACGAAAGAAGAATCCAATAAAACAAGAGCTCAAAGACAAGATAATAAATCAACAGATCAAGGTGAAAAGACTGCAGAGCTACGGAAACAGTGAGAGCCCAACGACAGCAACAGGAGCTAATCAATCCCACAGAGCAGTAAAGAACAGAACAGACGTGACTAAAAGTTGAATAAGGCACAGAGTAAAGGTCTGACACTAATTCAGTGGATGCGGGGGGAAAAAATAAAAAAGCATCATCTCACACCCTCAGAAGAAATGTAATAGTCAGGGAAGGCAGAGGTCATGAAACAGAGAATAATTGGTTTCCTGAAATACAACATCAGAGCAAGTAACAGAAAAAATACTCAAAAACACAAATCAAAACATTTTCCCTGAGCTGAAGGAAGGAGTTACTCTGGCCTCAGTATTCTCCAAAGCCACGCTTAGAACCAGAAGGCAACGGAGCAGAACTGCTGAAAACAATCTGAGGGGATGAGTGTGGCCCAAGAACGGCAGACCCAGTCATGGTCTTTTTCAAATTGTCAAACCAGACTGAGTTACCAAATGTAACATCCCGCAGCCCTTGCAATACAAACCACTCATCAGGAAATTCTACCCTCCAGCACCTGGGAACGGAAAAGCCTAATGTTGGGCACCGAAACCTCAGAAATGCAGGACCCGTACTGCAGCTGAGGGAATCAAGCACAGGGTGGAAAATGTACTCTGACAAGGAAAAATAGTAATGACAAAAACCGAGAGCAAGGGAGAGTGTGAGGTAATACAAGATATATGGATATATCTATATGGATCTATATGCCTGTCCCTGGTTCACGGCAAGGAGCTCCTAAAACTCTTGTCATTTCCTAAGTGATAAGAACACTAGGAATATCTGTGGTTCTCACATTTAGTCTTTGACCTATCCCTGAAACAGGGCTTCTAAAACCCTTTTGAATTCCTGAGGGATAAGGGCACGAAACGCATTTTTTGTTCCAATGAGGCAGGTAGACTCCTGAATGGCCGCTGGGTGAGGACTGGTCACCAGAAAGACCAATGGCTCCTGGGTGGGGCCTGGTCACCAGAAAGACCAAGCCACGATTAGAAGCTTGGAATTTTCAATCCCCACTACCCTCTGCTTCTCCAGAGAGGGGAGAGGAGCTGGAAATGGAGGTAATGATCGGTCACAGCTACAAGAAGCTGCCGCCGCAAAATCCCAAGAGTACCAGGTTCAGAGAGCTTGCAGGTGGGCAAACACAGCCCTTCCAGGAAGATGACACACCCAAATTCTATAGGGACAAAAGCTCCTGCCCACAGGACCCTCCCAGATCTCACCTTATTCATCTCTTCATCTGGTTGTTCATCTGTATCCTTTACCATATCCTTTAATAAACTGGTAAACAAGTTTCCACGAGTTCTGTGAGCTGCTCTGGCAATTAATTGAACCCAAGGAGGGGGCTGGTTATTGGAACATCTGATAACCTAGGCTTGAGACTGAAGTGGGGTAGGGAGCAGGGGGCAGTCTTGTGGGACTGGGCCTTAACCTGTGGGATCTGATGCTATCTCCGGTTAGATGGTGTTGGAACTGAGCTAAATAGTAAGACTCACTTGGTGTCACAGAACTGCTTGTTGGAGGGCAAACCTCCATGCATCTGGTGACCAGAAGTGTCAGAAGTGAAGTGATCTGTGTGAGTAGTAAAGGAGACATGTAAGAGAAAAACACAAAAGGGAAGAACTAGGTTTCTCCCAACACAGAAGGCAGACAAAACGGAGTTTTTCCTAAACAACAAGAATGAGTAGAAATTTAAGTACTAATTGCTCCATCCTTCATAGCAGAAAACCAACTTTTTGATTATATACATAAAAAGCATGCATGACATAGCCTATTCTCTTGAAATTATTTCTGTTTAGCTAGTTATCCATCCATCCTTTTGACTAGGTATCTGAAAAGAAAAATGTCTAGAATAATGGCCACCAAGAGTTAACACTAATTGTTTCTAAGAAGTCGGAATGTTAGGGCACCTGGGTGTCTCAGTTGGTTAAGTGTCTGCCTTCAGCTCAGGTCATGACTCCAGGGTCCTGGGATGGAGGCCCACATGAAGTCCTGCATCCGGCTCTCTGCTCAGCGGGATGTATGCTTCTCCCTCTTACTCTGCCCCTCCCCCTGCTCATACTCTCTCTCTTGCTTGCTCTCTCTCAAATAAATAAATAAAATCTTAAAAAAAGAAAAAAAAAAGAAGTGGGAATGTTGCGGAATAATCAATCACTAATAGTGGTTAGAAATCTTTAGGAAGTATATTTATGAGTGTTCTTTTTTGTAGTTTCCTATATATATGTATTTTCAAAAAAGATTTTACTTATTTATATTGAGAGAGAGTGATCAACCAGGGAGAGGGGCAGAGGGACAGAGAATCTCAAGCAGACTCCACTCAGAATACACAGCTTGCATGGGGCTCAATTTTACCACCCAGAGATCATGACCTGAGCCGAAATCAAGAGTCTACTGAGGGGCGCCTGGGTGGCTCAGTGGGTTAAGCCTCTGCCTTCAGCTCAGGTCATGATCTCAGGGTATGGGATCCAGTCCTGCATTGGACTCTGCTCAGTGGGGAGCCTGCTTCCCCCTCTCTCTGCATGCCTCTTTGCCTACTTGTGATCTCTCTCTCTCTGTCAAATAAATAAATAAATAAAATCTTAAAAAAAAAAAAAGTCTACCAACTGAGCCACCCAGGTGCCCCTACACTGTACTTTTTACACATGTCCATATACATTAAAGAAACTGAATGCCTCTGGTCATAAAGGATAGACAGAGAACAAGTGACAATGACATAGAAGAAGAAGAACAAGAAAAAAGACTGCCACAGAGAGTATCAAATTTACCTAAAGGCAAAAAAGCAGGAGAAGGCATCAGCGGAGAGAAGATGCAGACTGAGAAGCAAGGGGCCTTGAAACTAACGTTAGCATCCACTGATTTCACTAATAAATCCCATCTAAGTGACAGTAACTCCCAGATTTGGACCTCCATCCCAGACCTTTCCATGAACTCCACACTCGTATCCCCTTACTTATTCAACATCTCTACCTGAAGATCTGACAAGTATTTCAAATGTAATGTATCCAAAACTAAAACCAAATTCTTGATTTTTCCCCTCTGCACGTGCTCCTCTCTCAGCCTTCCCTATTTTGCTGAATTCAGCCAAGGTTGGCTTAATTATACCTGTTCCTGTTGGGTCACCTCCCTGGATCATGAAGTCTTTGATGATCCTGTGGAACTTCGTGCCATTGTAGTAACCTCGACGTGCCAACTCAGCAAAATTCTTACAGGTCTTTGGAGCATGCTTCCAGTACAACTCCAGCACAATGATCCCCATGCTGCAGGGGGAGAGGAAAGTAGAGCTCCAGTCAGGACAAGGTCACAGCAACAGTAATGTTATGGGACTGATCCAGGACTCTCTATTTTCAAGCTTATATTAAGTCATGAAATTGTAATACACATTGGATTTCATGCTGGGCAAAGGAAAACATCACAATCACAATGTAAATAACATAAAGATATCTTCTTTGAGTGAAACACACGGGAGGTTCTGGTACTTCTTTTAAACAAAATAATTATGGACAACTAAAAAAAACTCAAACTAGCTTTATATATTAGAAAAATCTGTGATCGTGGGAAACCAATATAACCAATTCTTAAATTAGGGGGAAAATAATTACACTTAATTTGTAATTTTTTTTAAGGAGGACATTAACATATCAGGAATTTATACTTATTTATACATGCATGAGTTTCTGTGTCAAGGTAGAAACTGGGTAATGGGAAACAGGAAGGTTTTCAATAAGTATCTTCTTTTAAACTTTTGTATTTTTGAAACATGTAAATATATTACCTATTTGTAAAAATTTTAATGCGGAAAAAAAAAGTACAGTTTGTGTGTGTACTTAGGAGGGGGTGCAACAAATGAAAAACCTGATTATTTCAAATCTCTAACCTACCAAATGGGATGAGCACTTTTCCCCATGAAGTACAGCCAGGGAAAAGGAAAAAGTAAAAGACTTTAGACAGGTGCCTTCCCCTCCACTCCATCATTCACCTAGATTTTAAGCTCCAAGAATGTGAAAATTGAGGGAACTCTGGATAGCCTGCATAGCCAGTGCCAAGCACAGTATAAGCACTCTGTAAATGTGTGTGTGTGTGTGTGTGTCTGTGTGTATACACACACACACACATATATAAAATGTGCTAGAACATAGCTTTCTAAAACCCTTTCTACCAGCAATTCATCCTTCACACTACTAAAATTCAACAGGGATTAACACCTACTCTGTACAAGTTCTAGGTGCTTTTGCCCTCATAGAGCTTATATTCTGGTGCAAATTTTTTTAAATACAGGGAGTAACTTTTGGGAATGGCAATCAGGAAATACCTACACAACTTTGAAATCTGCATACCTGTTGGCAGCAATTTCAACTTCAAAGTATTCTATAGCAAAACCTACAGATGTGCCTAAGGATCCAGTATGTGCAAGGGTCTTTATTTATCCAGTATTTATCATAACAAAAACAAGAGGCAATTGAAGTGCCTCTCAAAGAGGAAATGACTAAAATACAAAATAGCAATAATGTGGGAAGCCATATTAACGAGTGAAAGGAAAGCAAATTATAGGAAACATATATACAGCATGATCACGATCCAGTTTTTAAGAAACAGAACATAAAAAAAAATGTTTATACATTCACAGAGAAAGATGTAGGTCATCCAAAGAACTATTAACTATTTCTACAGGAAGAGGTGGATTTCATTTATTCTACACACTTCTACACTGCTTGGATTTAAATTTCAATTTATTTTGTAACTTAAAAATGTTAACAGGTGAATTCAGAAATTACTTACAAGTTGAGGCCTGAAGAAGTAGAATTTTGCAATACACGGTGGGGAAGATGACCAGAGAGCAAAAGCAGCACCCGAGAACCGTGTTCTGCGGGAAAACAGCATGGCCAAAAGCAGAAAGTAGACAGAGAACTAGGGCCTGGACCTAGGCTACTGGTGTGGGGATGGCAGAAGATGTAGCTAGAGAGCTAGGCAAAGGCCAGATGAGAAAAAAAACCCACCTTGAATGTCAGACTACGACTAATCTGATATTGCTGTAGCAGTAAGAAGTTACTTAAGGTTATTTGTCCTACTTCCGAAACATAGGACTATCTCCAAAGAGGCAATGGAATCAGTGGGGCTAAAGAATGGAGCAAGTGAGGCAGACAGACCAGGCTCCAAATGAGGTTCCCCTACTTACTAGATATACGGGTTTGGTCAAATCATTTAACTCGTGAATTCTGTCGTTTCCCCTGCTAAAATGGGAGAGAAGGTGGAATAACACCTGCATGATTTGAGTTGCTAAGTGGATTAAAATCAGTGAGATGCTGTACGTCAGGGGACGGGGACTAGAGGGCTGGTGCTCAATGATACCGCTCTTTGACAGTGGGGAAATGTGCTTCTTCCTATGCCTTCCTAGTAATTTGTTTATCCTGCTGAACTATTTACTACGTTAGTAGTTACAGATCTGCCCCTTTCACTACACTGCAAGGTCCTAAATGCAAGGCGGCGTGTCTCCTGCAGCTATATCCTGATTCCAGTCCCGACGTCGCCTCGTTGTAGACTCAACACACGCTTGTCGAAAGAAGGGATGAACGAACCAGGGGGTGGAAGGAGGACAACCAGGCATCTGTCGCTGAGGTTTCAGAGCGAGCCGGTGCGGAGCTCGGACGCGGGCGGTGGCGGTCCCCATTCAGCCCTCAGGCGGCCCCCACGGCCGTCCCTGCACGCTTCCCCACCAGGAGGCCGTGCTCTCGGGGGAGCGCACGGGGAACACAGCCCCGCGGCAAAGCCCGGGCTCCGCGTTGCCTCAGCCAGCCGAGCCCCAGAGGTCCGACCCCTCTCACCTGGTCTCCAAGTATACGTTGGGAGGCTGCCAGGAGTCTGGGGGGATCGCCGCCATAGCGCAGCCGACGGAATCTTGCAGCAAAGCTACTTCCGGTGTTGGTTCCGGGGGACCCTCCGCTGCTGCGCACACTTCCGGTCTCCGTCGTTCAACCTTTGCGATGCCAACATTTGGGGGGCTGAGACAAGGATGAAGAAGGATCCCCCTTCCAAGAGCCGGAAGCTGGGATGCGAGGCGAGAAGAAGCTGACGGCAAGGACGGAGAAAAGTGCAAGCTCCATCGTAGAGGTGGTCTCTAGGTTGAAGAGACCGCGACACTCTCCGGACGCTCTGATTGGTTCGTTTAGGCGTAGAAGGCGGGAACACCAGCAAATCTGCACTCCGATTAGAGTTAATACCCTAACTTTCAATTGGAATGATTTCCTAGTTCCACAAAAGGGCAAGGTCCTGAAAGGGGATGGGAATGAGTTGCTAGTCTCTGACATTTTTAAGGCGCTGTACAATTTGCGTAACACTACACTTTACTCTTATCTACTCCACAAAGCAGTCCTGTAAAGAAGATAATATTGTTCCCATTGTTCAGTTGTGAAAACTGAGACCCAGCGGTGAGATGACTTGCTCATTTGTCCATAGCCATACAGCAAACCCGAGCCTCCAGCTTCCAAAGAGTCAGGGAGAGTGGAAGGGGAAGCGCCAGGGAAAAAATGAGGAGGAAAAAGAGACAGGAGAACGAAGATCAAAAGGATGAGGGCTAAAGCAGGGCTCAGAGTGACTGGCTGGGATAGATGGGGTAGAAGGTTGTTGGGAGGGGTTGCTCAGGACTAAAGAGAGGCAAAGTAGAGGTCCTGCGAGGTTTGGAGGAAGGACGAGAAGGAAATGGGGTAAGTAATCATATGTTTTAGATGCTTTGCACACTGGGTAATAATGATGTTAGCCAATTAATTCTTACTTTATGTCAGGCATCGAGTTAAGCACTCGTGTGTACTTTCACATGGTTAAAATAAAACACAAATGGCGACCAGACTTGAAAATCTCCTGAGCAGGCAAACTAGTTTAGTCATATAAGCAAATCTTAATTTAGCTTGTTCTGTAAAGTAAGCAAAACTTATCTTGGACCACTTCTTGTTAAAGCCTCTGGAAATCAAAAAGGAAACTTAAAATGTTCTCAAAATGGATGTGAAATAACTTCTTGTAACTCATCCCCATCACTAGGGAAACTCTAATATTATAACCGATCTGAAGAGTAAAAAGCCACTGCCTCCTCTCACCATATGAAGTACTTCATGATAATATACCTCTGAACCTCTCATCCCATGTTCAGTTTGAGTGGTTCCAGTTTGCAAACTTTTTGTGCATGATGAACTTTTCTAATTACTATTTCAGTGGTGCAGTGGTTTTCCTTCTGCTATTTCTGAACTTTTGACAACACTTCAAAATCTTACGAGGTAGATATTACTATTCTCTTTTTCCTTTAAGGAAACTGAATCTTACAAAGCTTAAGTAACTTGCTCAAAGTACTACAGCTGTGAGCCCCTGTGTTTAACCACAGTTCAACCCTAGCTCCCTTCGTTGTCAGGTAGGAATAAGGATATATACAATGTCGTAAAGATTAAATTGGACAGTGAGCAAGCCGGGCCCCCTCCATCTCTGTCCCCTTCTCGCAGAGTACTAAGAATAGGGTGTTCAGGTTTGTCAAATGAATAATGGGCAGAAAGTGACATTTTAAACTGATGAGTGCTGGGTAATGTATGGTGTAATAAATTTTACACCTTCTGCAGTCTTGTGTTCATGATCTCTTTGTGACTCTTGAGCTGGACAGAAAAGTGATCATCATTCGTCTGTTCTGTCCTCTGTTATTTGAGTTGCCTTTCTCTGGGCCTTGTATAGTTCCTTACTATATATTTTGCAAGGCTTAGGGCACAGTGAGAATGCACTAGGATTATACACAAGAAGAGGTCAGTGTCTCGCTGTCTCATTCCAAACCCCTTCCTCAAGAGACTCAGTATTTGTTGGCTTTTTTGTCCCCAAGAGAACATTGGATGACTATAGGGAAGAACTGACAAAGATTTCTTTTCTGAGTTATAACCAGTAGTCCACATGAAATTACTCAGAGTAGCTTATATGTACCTCATCTAGTCTGTTAAGCTTTGTGTGTCTTCTGAAGAAATGTGCTTTATTAAAAACAAAATTATAAACTTCTACAGAAACATTACTTTTTGGGCTAGAGAACTGAAGATCATCCTCTTTCTCCTCCCTATAAAGGATACATCATCAAGACCTATCAATTCTTTTTTCCCAAGATAACCCAAAGTATATCCCTTCCTTCCTATTCCCACTGATGTTTCAGACCTTTAACATCAGGATTATTTTAGAAGCCCCCTTGTAGGATTCCCTGCCTTTTGGCTTTTCCCCCCTAACCCATCCTAAGCACACACAGCAGCAGCCAAAGCTTTCCTCCCAAGTTATAGTACGTCACTTCTTTGCCACAAAATGTTAAATGGCTTCCCTATGCCTATTAAAATAAAGTCCCAAATCACTTGGCCTGGGCTTGAAGGCCCTTGGTCACTGGCCCCTCAATGGCTTCCCCAGCCTGATTTCCTGCCATTTCATCCATGTCTTAACCAATTATACCACCCAGGCGTCCCTTATTTCATCCATGTCTTAAAAGTGCCAGGGGCATTCCCACTTCAAAGCCTTTGCTCAGGCCATTCCTTTCCTTGCAAAGCTTCCCAAACCTCACCCGTGCCTTTGTCCCAAGTCCTTCAGGAAACCTCTCTCCCCTTCCTGTCTCTAAGTAGACTTTCTCCCATCTTGGTTTTTAATCCTGTGCACCTTTCAGATTTATATGGCCATAATAAAACACTGATCATGTCACAACCCTGCTCAAAAACCTTCAGTGGTTCCCCACCACCCACAGATCAAAGCATCAAGTTCTTCCTGGCTGTGCCAAGCTGATCTTTAAACATTGTTTCTTTTTTTTTTTTTAAGATTTTATTTATTTATTTGACAGACAGAGATCACAAGTAGGCAGAGAGGCAGGCAGAGAGAGAGGAGGAAGCAGGCTCCCTGCAGAGCAGAGAGCCCGATGTGGGGCTCTATCTCAGGACCCTACTTCTTCTATAAGTAGCCTTGGCCTCACTCAGATTAACATTCTAGGTTCTCCAGATGTCTTGTCTTCCCTCCTCTGAATCTTCTTACTCCCATGTCTTAATGCCTGAAATGTCCATTCTCAGCCTCCAATGTCTGAATCCTTACAGCCACTTCCAAGATCACTTTCTCCCTAAATCTTTTCCTGGAGCACCTACCAGCCACTAGGCACTGAGGAAAATAAAGGTGGGTCACAGACATTGTGCGGCCCCAAAGGAACTCACATCCTACGAGAGACAAATACAGCTACAAGGGAGTGGAATGAGAGTTATAATAAAGAAGCACATGGTACTTCCTGACCTCTGGTTGTTCCAGAGCTGGCTTTGCCTAGTCAGAGATTTTTCTGCGAGTGATAAACTGAGCTGAGATCTGGAAAATGGTAGAGTTGGCCAGAAGCCAGGAGAGTTCTCTTTGCAGATCTGAAACTTTATAAAGAGCTTGGGAAGTCAGAGAGTTTTTCTTGGGTCATCCTGGAGCTGAGTGTGAGGGAATCATAGAGGATCTTAGAACTTGATTCTGAGGCCATAGGGACATGTGAAGTGGCAAAATCAGATTTTGTACATTGAAAGTTGTCACTCAGGCTGTGGTATGGAGACTGGCAGGAGGGGCCAGGAAAAAATGGGCTTTCTTGAGCCAGTGGGCTCCCCAGAGTATTTTTAAGATTTTATTTATTTGATGGGGTGCCTGGGTGGCTCAGTCATTAAATGTCTTCTTTTGGCTCAGGTCATGATCCTAGGGTCTGGGATTGAGCCCCACGTCGGGCTCCCCGCTCTGCGGGGAGCCTGCTTCTCCCTCTCCCACTCTCCCACTCTCCTACTTGTGTTCCCTCTCTTGTTGTGTCTCTCTCTGTCAAATATATAAATAAAATCTTTAAAGAAAGATTTTATTTATTTGAGAGAAAGAGAGAGCATGAGTGGTGGGAAGGAGCAGAGGGAGGGGGAGCCAGCAGACTCCCAGCTGAGCAAGGAGCCTGATGTGGGGCTCCATCGTAGGATCCTGAGATCATGACCTGAGCTGTGAGGACAGATGCTTAAGCACCTGAGCCACCCAGACACCCCAGAGTATTTTAAGTAAAAATTTAAATTCTGGATACATTCAGAAAAGTGGACAGATCCTGTGTGTAACAGTTCAATTAATTATTATGAAGTAAACCCACCACTAAATCAAGAAATGTTTCCAACTCCAGGGAAGCTCCCCCTACCAATCAGTACCCCTTCCCCGACGAAGGTAACCACTTTCTAAGTCCATAGATTATTTTTCTCTGTTTTTGAAATTTACATAAATGAATTCATGAAGTATTTTTTGTGTGTCTGTCTTCTTTTGCTTATCATTTTTGCAAGATATTACCATGTTGTATACAGTGGCTGTGTAGTATTCTGTTGCATGAATATACTACATGCCTTACACATTTCATTCCTTTTTTTTTTTTTTAAGTAGGCTCCATGTCCGGCATGGAGCCCAGTGCAGGGCTTGAACTCATGACCCTGAGATCAAGACCTGAGCTGAGATCAAGAGTCGTATACTCAACTGACTGAGCTACTTAGGTGCCCCTATACATTCTATTTTTAATGGGCATTTGGAATATTTCCAGATTGTGTCTATGACAAACGGTGCTGCTATAAATATTTTTGTATGTGTCTTGGTGCACTGTACGTGAATTTTTTGGAGTATATACGTAGTAGAATTGCTGGGCCATAAGTTATATGTATATTGTAATTAACAGTTAACCAGACTGTTTTCCTAAATGGCTATAGCAATTTACATCCCTACCAGCAGTGTGTAACTTGCTTTGCTCCACTTCCTCATCAACACCCAGTGTTGCTAGTCATTTCCGTTGAAGCAATTTTGGAACGTGTATAAGATCTCATAGTCATTTCTGTAACAACTAATGATTAGTGAAGTTGAACACTTTTTTTTACATGTGTATTTGCCATTTAGGTGTCCTCTTTTGTGGTATTATCTTTTTGTGTTCAGATCTTCTGCTCATTCTTCTATTTGGCTGTCCAGTTGTCTTTTTTCTTATTGGTAGTTCTTTATGTATCCTGGACACAAGCTCTTTGTTGGTTTCTTTCATTCTATAGGTTATCTTTTTCATTTTCTCAGTTGTGTCTTTCAGTGATCAGAGGTGGTTTCTGTAAATTTCATGTGGTCCA